CTGCACCCCACCCCACGCCGGATATCAATCCGCTGACGCAGCCAAATGCATACCGTCGTAAATTTACGTCCTATTCCCGTTCTCATCATCGTTTTTATTTAGCACACGGGTACCATTGCTTCCCGTACAGTATCTACTAGAGTAGTATTGGTGCCCAAACACGCACCACGGAACTGCCATCGATCGCATCCAGGCATCCAGGATAACCGTTACTATCCACCACGACTGCTACTGATGCTATAGCACCACCGCTTACAGGTGGCCGCACAACCCCGCAACCCCGGGGGGGGGTCGTTACCCCGACCGGCGGGGTAATATTCACCCATTCACTCACTCACTCGTACCCCCCCCTTTCCGCCGACCTGAATGGCGACACCATGCCCCAATGCAGGTACGGCGACATACGGCTGGTTCCGGAGCGCTGCAACGCGTCGTTGCGGCTGGCGGCGTAACGAGCCACTCCCCCGCCTCGCCGCCAGGCGTCCCATCGCGCATAGCCCGCACAAGAGCCCCCCACCTGCACACTCCACATTTGCACATTTGCATACACTCTGATGGGACAACTGCCTCCCTGCTTGAACTTGTTCGTGTGCGCTGCGGGACACATTCCGCATGACGAATGACGAGTGACGAGGAAGCAACCAGTCACCCATCATCCTCATGGTGATCAAGGAAGGTTGTGGTAGCCAAGCACCCGCAATAGGGGCTACGAGGAGCAAGATGGCAAGCACGCCCGTCCATGGCCGTGGATCAAGCCGATCCCCTCCCCTCCCCTTCCCTTCCCTCCTTCCCTTCCCCTTCCCTCCCTCCCCTTCCCTCCCTCCCCCTCCCTCCCCTCCCCCTCTTTCCCCACCAAATGTGTCACACCCCGGACGCTGCAGTCCACTCCAGGGAGGCTCTCCGCCAGGTCCCCTAGGTCCAGTTCCGACTGCTGCAGATCCAGGGGGGGATTCTCTCCCAGCCCACGACAGCAACTGCTAGGTCCGCAGCTGGCGCTGTAGCGGTTGTAGCACGGGTCGATTGCCAGGGGAGCCTGCGCGCTAGCACCCACCTCTCCCTCTTCCCTCTCCCCCCCCTCCTCCTCCTCTTCCGAATGACCTCCGCCTCCGCCGTCGCCCCGAATCGAAGCCGGGAGCAGTGACTCGCCCATATCCATCGGCGCCCCACCCGTACCGGCTGCTGCTGCTGCTGCTTCATCCTCTTTCAGGAAAAGCCGGCCCCGGGGAGTATCTGCGGGGGCGGGGCCTGGGGCTGCTGCTCGGGAGGTCCGCTGAGGAGGTGATGGCGACATTTGTGCGCTGGGGAAGGCTGAGGTGCCGTACATGGCCCGCAGTCGGTGACGTCGCAGGGCTGAGGGTCGGATCGGTGTCCGGGTGGGTGGTGAGGAGGGGGAGGGGGGAGGGGGGGGAGGGGGGAGGAGGAGGAGGGTGGTTAGTGTGCGGGGTTGTGGAAACTGCTACGTGCTTTGTTTGGTTAATCTGAAGCGCGATAAAATTTTCGGGGACAGGTCGATGCGGGTGTACGAATAACTCGAGCGAGCTAATGCGAGCTCCGTAGCCCAGCGACGTGTATTGAAGGACCTTTTCCAGTAAAATGCTGACTAGACATAACTGCTTGGAGCTTTCCTATCAGACGGTGAGCAGGAGCCCTCAGTGATATGGAGGGCCCGTCTGAGGGCGCGGCGCTGCAGTGGGAGATGCGCGACTGCTGGGTGTGCATGTGCGTGTACATATGTATGTGTGCGAGTGTGTGTATATCTGTGTGTGTGGGTGTGTTTCGCTGCCGGCGTGTGCTCCCCGAGCAACTCCTGAGGATTGGGCCCCTCCGCCAACCGCCACCCAAATGAACGGAATGATGGAAACTAAATTAACCGAAATTATTAGGTAAGCAATGCCCCACTGGGTAACAATGCAGGTATACGACGTATGATGTACGGCGTACCTTCTGTGGCGCTGCGGTACGCGTGCGCCTTGTCGTACGCCCGGCCGACGAGCTGCATTGGCACGATACACGCCGTGTCCACAGCCCAAACACCCGGGGGTCCCGTCGGTCGAGGTGGTCCTGGCGGCGGCGGCGGCATCATCGTCGTCGTCGTCATCGCAACGGTGGCGGCGGTGGCGGCAGTGGCGGCGGCGGCACGGCGTCCTCCGCAAACATCGAAATCTGTCCCGGCACCACAATCCAGTTCGAGCTGCCGTACAAGTGCGTCCAGCCAGGCCGCATCTGGATCCACGGGCATATCCTCTGGTACCGAATGACCCGCGGGTCGGATCCATTTTGGGAGGGGGGGCCCGTTGGAATCATCATCGGGATTTAGCGCCAAGGAATGCCGATAGGGCCCCAATGGAGCATCGCAATGTTGGCCACTGACTGTGGGGTAACTTCCACCCGCAAACACACACACACACACTCACCCGTTACCACCAGCGCTGCCCGCCGTACCGCCGCCAAAAGGGCCTCCCACCCCGGGCCCGATACCTCCACACGTCCCAGACCACCTTGGCCTCCTCCACCACCATCGTCGTTATTGTCGTACTCCGGACAGCCGCCACGTCCGCTGCCATCGCTTCGAACCTCATCGCCAGGACCCAGACCAGCACAAGTGGTGCCGTACACATGTACGAGCAGGTCAAGCCCCTGGTTTCGGAGCTCCCGCTGGGCATCACGAAGTCCTGTGTGTATGGGGGAGATCGACGAGAATGGGCGTTTAGGGTTTGAAACTCGTCAGGGGAATTACCGTACAAGGGGTATCAGGTTTTGCCAAGTACGGCACCACACCACTGGTCGGCGGCGGCCTTACCCTCCAGTAGGAACTTGACCCGCCGGTGGTTGATGTACGGCTGGCATGTCGGTTGTACGAATGCCGCGATACGCAACGGCAGCTGTAGCCGCTCTGCGGCGGCTCTCGCGGTGTCCAATGCGGGGTTCTCATGGCCCCGTACGGCAGTCTGATTAATTGACGAGATGACAGTTGGCAGTTATATAGAGCAGTTGGAAAGCAGTTAGGCGGTCACTGGGTTTGTGTTGGACGATAGTTTGGTATTTCCAGGGGACCTGGGACAGGGGAGACACGTCAGCATGCGCTCGTACTGCGTAGTGTGTGTACGACTTTGCGTGATGATTAACAAGTCGTAATGCACACTTGCTGGGCTATTACACAGAAAAGGTCTGAAGGTGGCGGAGTATGTATGTATGTATGTGTGTATGTGTACCCATGCGAATCTGAGATGGCAGGCGGAGAAGAGGAGGCGGATGTGGTGGCGACCAGGGTGAGACAGCCCGATCGGGTCCCGACAGGAATGGCACTTGTCCTGAAAATCCCGACAGGCTTTGAAAATGCTTTCGGGCGGACCCGACGAAAAAGGGGGAAAATGCCAAACGGCCATCGGGAGCCCCCGACGGGGCCCGGAGGGCCCCCGTCGGGGTACCCGACAGGGTTAGGGGCGCTAGGACCGCCCGATCGGGTGCCGTGGGTCGTCGGTGGGCCCTTCGGCGACGGACAGCTACAGCGATACATAATGGCATTCATAAAAATATAACTGGATGGAAATATGTAATGTAGTGGTAGCATTCTTTATCCTTTGACTCTGCTGTACAGGGATCCATGCTTGGATACATAAGTGAAGGGCACACTACCTTATCTATAAAATACGAATAAATGTAATTTCAAGCGGCACACAGCGAAATTTCGTTCTTGCGTCACCCGACAGGTTTTGGGATGGGCTATCGGGGCAACCGACAGAAATTGAAAGATATGCAAAAACGCTATCGGGCGGGGCCGACGGGCATGGGAAGGGGAAAACCGGCAACCCGACCATTTTAGGAAGGTCCTGTCTAACCCTGGTGGCGACCGTCTTTTCTTCCTCAAAATTGCGGCTCAGAGAGGCTGACGTACGGCAAAACGTACGGCAGGAAACATACAAGACAGACCGACCTTCATCCAATACAACACGTACTCTCCAGCGACGGCAGGAGCCGTTGCCGTACTGCCATCAGCGACGGTCGCCGCTGGGGTTGACGGCGGCGGTGGCGGCACACGGGACCTGACGGCGCTGCTGGCGGCGGCAGCGGTCCGGCCCGAGCTGACCACCTTGCCGCCGCCGCCGCCGCCTCCGCCTTCCTCCTCAGAGTCCGAGATGACAACGACTGCGGCGTCCGATTGGTCGTGGTGCCGCGGCTGCCGCTCACCCAGCTCATCCGCCTCCTGCTCAGAGTCCAGTTCCGTCAAGTCCATCAGCTCCACCTCATCTTCCTCAGCTTCACCATTCAGTCGCGCCTCCGTGGCCGGCGGCTGTGGTGGCGAAACCGCCGCAGCGCCGCCACCACCGCCACCGCCGCCGCCGCCGCCGCCGCCGGCTGCGGCTGCGGCAGCTGTCTCGATGCGGTGCCCGCCCTTCAGAGGAAGCACTACCCGTATCCGCTCCGAAACCAAGGGCGTAAGTCCTAACCAAGCAAACGCACTGGAGGACGCTGAGGGAGTGGCGGCTGCTGCTGCAGCACCCGCTGCGGCGACTGCAGCGGCGGCGGCGGCGGCGGCGGCGGCGGCGCCACCGGCGGCTGTCTGCGCTCTGGCCGCCCGCCGCGCTTCCCGCCTGCGTTGCTCCGCCTCCAGGCCCCCCGGTCCGCCCCACTTGCGATGAGCAGCCGCCTCCACCTGGGGGGTTGGTTGTGTGAGAGATGGGGGACGGGGAAGGGTTATGGGGGGAAAGGCAGGGGGAGGATGGGGGAGACGTGCGGGTTTTAGTGTTTTAGGATCGCTCGGCTGCAGGGGAATTGCATACGGCACAGTGGGACAAGAGAACGTGCATGCGGGGTACGTTGGGCCCTATGCATGCGCATTTTTGCCCCACCTGAGCTTTGTCGTACAGTTTCATGGGGGGTCCATTCCTTGACCGAGGGTTTTTCTTCTCCACTGCAGGAAGTGTTTCGATCTGCAGATGTAAACTCAGGTATGGTGGGGGGAAATGGGGGATGTGAAGGAAGGGGAGGGGAGACTGGGTGGGAAGCTTTGTTTTGGGGATTGAGCTCAAGTAGGGCCAGGAAATACGCGCAAGATCAGAGGCTTCTATCAACAGGGATTACGTGGGTTGGCGCGGCCGACTGCTGCACAGATCAAAGCTGTTAAGAGGAATGTGGGTTTGAGCTTATCAAAGCGGAAGGGCTTCAAGCGTGTAAGGATTATAACAAGTGTTAGGATGGAGCGAATGAACAGGAAGGTCTGGAATTCGGGCTGCGCTGTGCGCCTCATCCGGCGGGATTGACCAACAGACGTAACGGGCAACGTCTCACCCGTCCCCGCAACCGCCTTGCGCAATTTTACTGCTAAGCAAAACGTATGATGTTTTGATTTACTCACATCCTTGTCGGTAAGGCAGAAAATTGACTTCGCGTGTGTCTTCGGGATGAGCTTGGACATTTGCTCGCGAACTACTCGCGCCGCGCCTATCTGGCAATAAGTTACCGATATCTTTAGAAGCTTAGGTATGCTATAAATATCAAGTACAACGCGCCAGATGTGTAAGTTTCCGAAAGTATACGAAGTTAATTTGCCACGACGTGCTGTCCACCACACAGTTAACAGCTGCCAAGATCACATATGGATTTAGTTGCCAGAGATCAAGAGTAAGTGAGTAGAGGTTATGGTTTAGTTGCTGCTTCCCTTGGGAGAAAGCTGTCATGTTTTTTCATCATCAGGTTTCAACTGCCTGGGTGAAGCCGAAGTCCTGATCTCCCAAACAAACGATTATCCCAACTTACAAAGCCGCAATCCCGATAATCGTCCCCTTACGCATAAAACAATGAACAAGCCAGATCCAGAAGAAGCGCATCAAACAAATAAATATACGGCCGCGCGGATGGCACTTTGACAAATGCGCCGTGTTTGGTCCAGTTATAAATGTACTGACGCCAATTTTGCCCCTCGACGACGACATCGTTAGCCGCCAGAACCAGATTTCAACAACGGGACAAATAAATCTAATGAATCAGCTTTCTGCTGCTACGTATACCGATCCCCGCAGTCCACAATCCGTTATACGTAAAAGCTGTTGATGATCAGGGTTGCAGGAGATGAACAGGTGTGTCCCTGCCGCCCCTACAGGAGAAGGGAGCAAAAGGCCGGCGCTGACTGACCGACTGACTCGCGGAGAGGCTGCTGACTGATGTGCAGGTTGCGGCAGTCAGGGACAGAGGGACACCACACTCGCTGTGACCCACTCAAACTATTCAACATAATATTTGGCTCAAAATTTCACCACATGTTCATATGAGACGTCTGAGCACATTTTTTACATCACATTGTCGTACTGCACCACATGTACGGCACCCTACGGCACCTGGTGATACATTGGAATGGCGCTCACCAAATGGCGCAGAGTCCGTCCCCTTCCCCTCCCCCCCCCCCCCCCATTACGGCCCCGATTGCCCTAAGGACGCTAACACGCCCGCGCTGTCATCTGTTGCACATGACGGAGACGACCTGTGGAACAAACCATAATACCTCCGGTCCGACCTGGATTCCCGAATTCAAATTCAAATCAATCACAAGAAGCTCTCAAAAAGGCTATAGCTATCTCTGTGCAGAAAACGTTTAAATTTAGATTCGAAATCAAAGATTTGCGAGCGCAGCGCCATCATCATCATCGTCATCTTTATCATCATGAATTCATATTACCATCCCCCAGTCAAACGCACTGCACTTCTGTTCACCAACCCCCACGTCCATCTGTCCGTTGGTTAGTTATTCCGTTGTTCGTTGCCCGTTGGGGTCTTTGGGATATATTGCCCAAACCCAACCATACATACAACGCCCGTAATAGTCATACCGACCACTTCTTCAGCATGCCGCAATTAATATACCCCGACTGCCCTGACCGCGGCCTTGCACGTTTTCAGTACGGTATCGCGTCCTAGCTTAGTCATAAATTGCCCTGTTTGGTGGCGGCATAAATGGGTAAACAAGGGCCCCCACCAGGCGCGCAAGCCCCTCATGCAAAACATCCAAAAGAATAATCGCACAAAAATGTGCGCACTGGCAGGCGCTCACGCTACGCAGCGCCTGCGCGGGTTCGAGTCCCGCCCATCTTTCAAAACCAGGCGCTCGCCTTATACACATTCCTCAAGCCCCATCCCCCAACCCACAGCACCTACACCCCCGCACATTGTCAATCTGTCATATATACATAGCTGCAACAAACGCCACCGATTAGATTCTTTAAAATAGAGGACATCAAGGGGAAGCAGATAACGAAGGAGGAAGAAGTTGATCACACAAATACGGCAAACTGAGCAGCCAATCATGTTCACTTAGCTATGCAGTATTCAGCTGCCATCAAACCAAAGGGTGTTCGTCCTCGGTACTCAAGGATTGTTCTAATGGAAGTCATGCGATCCATCACAACCATCCACCCATCTGAATGTACGGACACCTCATCTTGCACCTTCATATGCGTTCATATGAGACGCCACTAAACCACATCACATTGACAGGGGCCGCTCCAAAGCCGATCTCCCCCCCACGCCCGACTACGCCACATAACTCCCCCACCCAGCCACCACCGCCAACCTCATCCCTGAGCACGGCATTATCGTTTTCCCCGACGCCCCCAAGACATGTCATCTGAATAATTCCTTTCCTCGCTTACGGTCACGATTACGGTTACACAGCATCAGCAGGTAAAGGGGGGAGCATCCGCAAACCGGGTGGTGCCGAAGAGAGGTAGGCGGTCTCAACCCCCACAGCATTACCCTCGCACCCCGAACCGATCTGAGACTGCCAATCTGAGACGATTGCGGCCTCCGCCGCCGCATCACCTAACACGGCCCCCGCCGGGCCCGCCCCCGGAAGCGATAATGCGCTTCCGCTCCGAAACCTCCCCCTCCCCTCCTCCCTCCCCTTACTCCTCCTCCCTCCCCCTCCCTTCCCCCTACTCAGTAACGGACTCAACCGGATCTCCCCGGAGCGGCGCCGCCTTCCGCCACCTCCACTGCCACCAAGCCGGGCTGGACCACGGCCAATCCCGCACGGGCGGAGACATCAACACCAAATCCACCGCCGCCGCCGCCGCCGCTACACGCTACATCTGTATCGTCACAAGCACGGAGCAGCTGCGGGTGCTGTCGTTTGGAAGAGCCCGGCTGGTGGTAACCTCCAGGCACCTCCTGAGCTAGCTGGTTAGGTTGTTGCTCTTGCGGTACACTGCCGCCGCCGCCGCCAATACTGCCGTACATGTTGGCGGGTGTCCGTCGCCTCACAAAGCAACACGTGAAGCAGCCATGAGTTGTTCGGGCTTTTGTTTCCGTATTCGCCTTCGGGTGCGGGTACGGGTACGGGTGCGGTGATGTTGTCGGGGTCGCCGCCGCTGCTCCCGAGTGCGGCTGCTTCTCCGCCGCCCTATCCTCCGCCAAACGGTACTGCTGCTGCTGCTGCTGCTCCGTTTTGTGTTGCTGTTGCTGCTGTTCTTCATGGTGTCGTTGCAGCTGCTGTTGCAGCTGCTGCTCGTGTTGTTGTTGTTGTTGTTGGTGGTGGTGGTGGTGGCAGCCGTGATGATGTGACAAGAGGGTCATCTGCAGCTCGCCCGCACACTCCAACTGGTTGTTGTTGGTGGTGGTGGTGAACCAGGACTGGCGCTCCAGAGCCGACAGGAAGCTCGCGTGTGAGTCACCGGACAGGCTCAGGTGGGAGGCGCCAGCAGGGGATAGTGAGCCGCCGCCGCCGCCGCCATTGCCATTGCCGCTACACACGTACGGCCCCCGACTCCCCGCGCCTACCGTTGGCCAACTCGACACCGACTGCTGCTGCAGCTGCTGCCCAGGCGGAAAGGAGTGATGTGGCAAGGAGTGCGGGACACCGGGGGCCGACGCAGCTGTCGCCGCCGTCGCCGTCGCCATCTGTACAACAGATGGTGACGTCGACCTGCCCTCGAGCGATGCGGATGCTGTGCCGGCGGCGGCGGAAGCTCCCCGTGTTGGCTGCCCCTGAAACTCCCCCACTACCCGCCAGCTGGCCCCCTCACTCTCCAACTGCGATGCGGGCCCCGCAGGTCCCTCCCCGCGGAACGGCGCAACCCGTGCTTCCGGCGAAGCGGAATCAACTGGGAGGCAATCACCTGACCGACCAAAGAGCAAACTTGCTTCCGGTATCAGCCCTGGCGTCGGCGGCGCCGCCACAGACGGCGCCAGGGATAATGACGGCAGCGCCGCTACTGCCGCCGCAGCGGCGGCGGCGGCAGTGCCGCCATCGTCCCCAATTACCGCAGACGTGGAGGAAGAGGCGTCCTGGTGTTGCGGTTTGTCTGGCGGCGCTCCCTCCGCATCCTCAACCCCCCTAGGATCCGCTAGCGACGGCTGCTGCTGCTGCTGCTGGTCCGGTGGTAGGCCGTCCTTATTCACGAAAAACGGAGAATGCTGAAACACATCACCAATGTGCCGTACAACCCGGAGCATCTCCTCACAGTAAAACTCCACAGCGGGCTCCACGACGTCGAGCAACAGCGGCTCAGCGGCGCGAGCCCCCGGTACGGCGGCGGCGGCGGCCTCCACCCAAGCCGCCAAGGCGACGTTCAGCTGCAGACCCAGCTCCGTAATGTCGTACAAATCCGGGCCGTACTTGATGCGCTGCTCTTCCATCGGGCCTAGCTTGGCATTGATCTCTTTGGCGAAGTCCAGAAGAACTTGGGGGATACCCGCCACCCATCTGCACCATCATGTCATGCCATGCCATGTCACCACCACCACCACCGCAAGGTTATACCACGTTTCATGGCGCGCTTTGGGACAGTCTTCGTGAGCCACAATTATTCAAACGGGTCACCGGCAGTAGTTTTGGGAAAAGATAGCTGTGGATGGATGAACTGCTAACTAGCGGCGGGCTGCGGGTTTGTGGTGACAGTTTTAACGGTCGTTGGGAGTTGGAAGTTGGGAGAAACGACGATAGGGGCCTGAGAGACAAATTTTGACGCATTGGCCGTAGCTGTAAAACAAAATCCAAATCCAGTACCCGGTCCAACTCGACCCGACCCGACCCGACCTCGAGCCGAGCCAGATCAACTTTTGGGAAAGGAAAGTACATCTAGGAAAGGAGTCGAGGCGGTTTCGCAAACGGGCGGGTGGCAAGGACTACGGCAGGATTGTGGCATGTGTGGCGAATACGGCAAGAAGATGCTAAACAAGGAGGCAAGGTACGGCACGTACTTGATGACCATTTTGTACATCCCCGAGCACTCCCCCAGCTGCACTAGCGCCCGCCGTCGCTCCCATTGCTGCTGCAGGTACAGGTCGTACTTTTGTCGGATAGTGCCGCCGCGCTTTACCAGGTCCTCAACTTGTTTCTTGTAGCGGGCTTCCGTACTCACCCTGGCGCGACGCAGGGGCGGCAGTAGCAGCAGCAGCAGCCATTGCAATAGCGACATAGACACAGAGGCAGTAGCAGTAGCAGCAGTAACGCTGCAAAACCGATGTTCGCCGTTGTTTGGTGCTCAGTCCGGACACACAAAACCATCCCAGACGGTCCGAGCACAGCCACACATGCAGCACATGCCATGAGCACAGCCCGTCGCAAGAGGTGCGGGAGGTGAGGAGGCACACATGCAGGACGAAGCCACTTGATGCCAAGCGGGCAACCCGAGTCCGTTGCAGTGGGGAAGTAAAAAGAGCATGACCTACAGTGTTGGAGTCTCACCGCTGCCGCTCAAGCAATGCGCCCCGGAAGTCCTGGGGAATGAATTGCTGAAGCTGTGCCTTGACGCTGGCCGTGTTATGCTCCTGCACTGCGAAGATGGCCCGCTCAGCGCTGACCAAGAGGCTACAGCATCGCTCGCAGGCCGCAGACAGCTTCGCCTGACCAGCGACGGCATCGCGTAGCTTTGAAATTGACAGTGCAACCTCCTGCAAGAATAAGAACCAGTTTGGAGGTAAGAGAAGGTAACCGAGAAGTACGATGACAACTGCTATCCTCACATCCCATGTGACAAAACGCACCTCGCAAATCATCCGGTTTCTCCAAAAGCAATCGTCAATACGCGTCGGAGAAGGCATCCCAACCTGCTCTGGCACCTTGCTACCCGGCTTGGTCACGGCTTCAGCAAGCTCTTCAATGCGTTTCGCATGAGCCACCCTTGCCTCAAATGGCACTGGTGTGAGTGGGTATTTCTGATAAAACTGTCTTAAGAATTCACGAGTTATCGGAACAAGCGGCTTCTGCTTTCCGTGCGTCATGGCGCCTTGGTAGGCAGGGTAGAGCTAAGGAACGCTTCTGTTTAAGAATATCGATGTCAAGGTGCTAGCCTGTTTAAATAGGAGAAGCTCATCTGCCTCCTAAGCGAGAGCCTGTGGCTTAGATTCGAAAGTATGATAGCAACCCAAGGGAAAGTACCTAGATACTCTAAACGCACATCATTGGAAGCTACAATGATAAGCCGTGCAACCGTTTCAGGAACATAAGTTGTACGGCAACACCCGGAAACGGCAATTCAGCTGCTGATTGTAATAAAAGGATTATGTTTTAGGAGGGATCTCCTCTGGTTAAGATTGGAGGAACGTGGAGTCACTGGGGAGGCACTTGATACGTTGAAAGGTTGCTATGAACGGGCGGAGATGAGGGTACTGGTAAACGAAAAGTTTAGTGAGCCATTCAACACCATTCAAGGCGTTATGCAGGGTTGTCCACTGAATCCGACTTTACTTGGTCTAGTTAGTGATTCCGAACGTCTTATGAAGGCGCTACGTGGGGTGGTTGGCTGAGGTCTTTGGCCATCCCGCTACTGTACGGAAGTGTGAGCTTTCTTTCTTCAATCCCTCAGCAGAGCCCCGAAGGGCAGTTTATCCTCCGTGGGCGTGGGCATGGGTTGCGACCTGATTTCCTGTTCACCTGACGACCTCGTTGTACTTGTGGATGGCTGCCTCCTCCTTTCCTCCCTTCCTCGTTGTATACCTTATGGGAGGATGTCTGAACCCCCTTCCTTTAACCCTCCTAAACACCACTTATCCCTCTTGCCTGGTGGTTTTTCCAGCAACTGGGACGCAGTGGTGATTACGACCCTTCTATGGGTCTGGGCAACCCTTGCCGGTCACCCGAAGTAGAAGGCTTCTTCAAGGGCTACACCAAGTGGGCCGCCTCAGGGGGCGTAGTGGAGGTTTCCGCAACCCCCTTGAGCAGCTCTCTACTAAATTCCGTGCCCTTGTGCTGCCTGGGCCATGCAGGCCGGGGCCCGGGGGCGCAGGTTTGCTCTCCACGCGCCGTTACACCCCCCCCCATCGGTCACTGCCCCCTCCAGCTTGAAGCTATGCATGGCGCAGTACGCGTGCAAACCCTGATAGGCAATTTCGGGGATGTGCGTCCAAGCATGTAATTCTACAACACACTTCAAGCAAATAGAGGAATGCATGTGAACCCCACGTGAACCAAAGTTTACCGTGTTCAAGAGCCAGGTAAAGCACCACCCAGCCCGGCACACATGTGCGCCACCTTCTCATTGCCTGGATCCATGGCATAGTAAAGCCTGGTCCCGCTGGCGTCCAGCATGGGGCTCATGCTTACAACATGTCAATAATATTGAATATCCACCACGCAGCTGACGGGGACGTCCTTTTCGTCTATGTCACGGGCGCCGCGGCCCGACGACTCCAGAGCATCCGACAGAAAGAAGCGGAGCCAGGCGTGTGTCCCCATCACCTGCGGCACCGAGGGAAGGGCACCACAACGGGACACACGTGGATTTGCCCGTAATTATAAAACCCTAAGTTCGTGTTCGTGTAATAGGCAGACAGAGTCACGTCCGAACGTACAGCATGGCAAAGGGGTGGTGTAGCCGTATCAGCAGGTAATTATAACGGGTGGTAGCGGAGGCTTTGAGGCCCCTCTCCCTATTTCTAGGTTACAATGCCGGGATTCGGGGTTTCCTAACCTTTTCGACATGGTCTTTAGCAGCGGGATGCCGAGATTGCCCTCCAGGTGGTCCAGGGTGGCGAGCCGGCGCGGGGTGCGCAGCTTTCGCGCGCGTCCCCGTGGGGCGCAGCAGCCCCTCGACAATGCTCCCACCCGCACAATGTTGTCCATCCACGGTCCAGGACCGCCACGTAATCGTCACTCGACAGATGGCCTTCGTCGCCATCCATGATTCAAGTCAGGACGGGTCAATACCTCGTGGCAGTTTGACCGTAAGGGGGATTCGTCCTTAGTGTTGCGGTCGAAGTCCGAAAGTGTATATGGGGAGGAGATAGAAATGGAGGAACTAGAACGCTCGCGCCAGCTAAGCGTATACTTGTCAAGCCCACAGTGCACGATTCACAGCAGGTGCTTTTTTGCTGAGGGGATTGACGTGTGCCGGCACCAGGGGGTTGCTTTCAGAACCCAAGCTCTCTATGTATGATGTGTGAAACAGGGGGGTGTATCTTCGCCCGTGGCAGCTACCCTGCGAAACCCTGCCTTCCCCGGTATTTCGGGGCACCCTCATCCAGTCACCCTAGTCAACTTCTCAGTGGATCGCTCAGGTTCCGCACCCACCACCAGCATCCAACGGAATCTGCCGGGTCGACAGCGGCCCAACTCCATTCCTGGTCGGCTCGCAGGTTAACTTTATCCCAGGTCACCACCGTCCATCAACTAGGGGCGCAATGCCTTCCACCATCGGAAGGACTTTTGACCCTAATGGGTATGTATGTATGGAAGCATATACTGGCGAGTAAAGGAAAGCAGCTGGCTCACTTTTCCCCCTCTTCGTTTTCACCTCCTTGATCCTTCCTCTCCCTCCCCCTGTTCCTCATCCCCTCCTTTCACCTTTTTTCAAAATATTACAGAAAAACAACGAAACTAAAGGATCAGCACACCACCTACTACTTACAACACCCAGTAACACCAGTCATGTATGCATGAATGGTATGCGCATTGATGCAGGTACAAATCGTGTGTGTCCACGAAAATACACGCATGCGCATCATGCGGATGAACAACAGCAGCAGAAGCCGGTACCACAGAACTCGCGTCACGTCTTTCCATTGGCGTTACCACATAAACCATATCCTGAAGTGTAATACAGCTAAACTACAAGATAACGTTACCAGAAGAATAGCACCACAGCTGCTTAATAAGATATGAAAAGAGAGGGAGATCGGACTGCCCAAATTATTATTCATAAAAGGTGAAAACAACATCAGCAACGTGCAGGCACCGCATGAGACACACCATCTTTCCTTTCCAAGTCATCCTCTGCTGTCTGTGCTTAAAGATCGGAGCTCTGGTCCTCGACCTTCATCATGTCGTACAAACTATCGTACAAACTATCACTCTTATGTATTCTGTATCCTCTACTTGCGCAGCAATTGGGCCCGTTTGTCGAGTTTTCCGATATGTCGCAACACCCCTGGGCATAGAGGACACAAAGACAAACACAGTACAGAACGCAAAGTTAAATTTGGTGTATTTGCGATAGGGCAAAATAATACCTACCTCCCCCCTCCATTACAACTCCAATACAATAAAAAAACAACATAAATATAAGACCTCATGCTTTGCGACAAGATAAGCCACGTCATCCTCTAGTTGCCGCCTAACAAACACTGCGCGAATCGACACCATGCTGGCCGAAAAACAACATAACCTCATAATAATTGATAACAATAAATCGGGCTCCGCTTCTTTTTCCTTTCAATTTGCCTGTCATCTGCTAGCCTGGGCCAGGCGAGGCGAGCTACCGAAACCGAAACGTACAGCAATCCCTACCTCTTCTTCTTCACTGCCGGGATAACACTTCATCTCTGGTGAAATTGCTCAGTTACTTTCTTCCTGTATTCTTCCTGTTAGTATTTTGTCATGTTCGGCACGCTATTCTAGCGACTCAGTCCAGTAAAACACGCACACGCACACGGACACACGCACACACCACCATTCGCCACCTCTCTCACTCTCGCAACCCCAGACGAGTCACTCTCTGCCCCCCAGGCTGCCGCCTCCTGCTCCTTTCTAAAGACTAAAGACGTCTCTAAACCCCTCTCGCCCTTACCACGCGGCGCTCTGCAATCATGATTCAGCAGCAACAGCAGGCCCATCCGCCAAAGCGGGGCATTCACTCCACCGTGCAGCACTGCAGAGCCACCTCCTCTCCCTCGTTCTACATATGAACAGGAGCAGGATGTGTCTTACCTACCTACCTACCTACCTATCTATCTATCTCATACACGGTTGGGAGGTGGATGACGGCTAAACAGCCATCACAGGATCTGACTGTCTACACCATATGGCGACCGCGTTTTCCAGGGGCCGCGGCCTGCGGACCATTATGACCGAGGCGCCGCCCCTGGCATTCTTGGCCAGGCACCTCTCGGAAGTCCCTGGGAGGTCAGGCACGTTGCGCTAAGCTAAGGCGCTTCAACCTGAAGCGGTGGCGAGGGAAGACGACGACGATGGGCCCCCGCCACGCGCACATCCGCATCAACAGCACCAATCTACCTACCGTCCATGGAGGGGGCCCTACCTTCAGGCTTTCACGGAAACCCCCGCACGTGTGCGTGTGTGTGTATGTGTGTATAAGTGTGTGTAACTTGTTAATTTCTAACTTCTTGCAACTTGTACTATATCCATCTTGGAGGGAAGGGTGCTCGGCTGTTGTTGCTGCGGCGGCGGCGGCGGCGGCTACAACCCAGCACATAGCAGTTCCAACTCCCGCAAGGCGGGGTCCACTCCCAGTGGCGGCGCCTTGGCGGACAAGGCAGCCTCCGAAACCTGCGGGTGCGGCGGCGGCGGCTTCGGCTTCACCGCCGGCAGCCCTAGCGACACGGGTTCTGCACTTGCACTCGCCATTGCTGTCGTCGTCGCCTCCGCGGTCGTCCTCTGCCGACTTGAGGGTTGTGGTTCCGGAGCAACTCCCAGTCCAATCCGTGTCGGCGTGATGACCCGTGACCCGTGGGTCAATGACAAAGCAGCCGCAGCCACGGCTGCCGCCGGTGCTGGGTGACAAGTTCCTGCTGACGCCGCCGCCGCCGCCGACATCGCATCGCCGCCACCGCCATTTCCTTTCGGGCCAGTCAGCACGGGTATCATATCCCCTTTGCTGGCGTTACACCACGCCGGCCCCACCGGGTCCCCGACGGGCGGGACGTTCCCTGGCGGCATGTTGCCGTAATAGTACGGCGCCATGAGTGGGGAGCTGAACGGGCTGCCGGCTGCGGCAGCGGCGGCCGCTGAGAGGGCCACATGTTGCGATGGCTCATGCTGCTGCCCAGCCGCTGCCGTACGCCCGCTGAGGTCAAAGGCGCTCGGACTGCATAGATGCTGTTGGGGCTGCTGTTGGGATGCGGGATCCGCCGCATGTCGCCCCGGCGGCTGCGAACTCACCGCTTGGAGAAACAGCGGACCGCCGCCGCCGCCAATGTCGCTGATTCCGCCGCCGCCGCCAATGCCGCCGCCGCCGCCGAGCTGCCGCAGCTGGAGCAGGTCGTTCTGGCGCTGTAGCTCTGCCACTTGCCGCTGAAGGGCCTCGTTAGTGAGCCGCAAGGAAACGAGCTCAGAATCCAGGAACTTCTCACTGTGCTCCCTCCGCTGCTGCTGCTGCTGCTGGGACTGTGTATGCTGGTGTTGGTGTTTGTCCTGGAATTGCTGCCGGTGCGGTGTCGATGTCGGTCTATGATGTGAATGTTGGTGTTGATCTGGGTGTTGATGGGGGGACCCTGGACTGCCGGTCCCAGACCTCTCGGCCTCCACGCGCGACCCGGCAGCATGTGCCGTACTGTCACGGATAGCTCCGAGACCCTCTACATCACCAGAGCCGTACGACGGTGCCGCGGTTGTAGGTGACGGCGCCGGCGACGACGTCCCCTGATGACTATGGCTACTGGCGTACTGCCTCAGCGACAGGGACAGCGACAGCGGCGACGGGGAAGGCGACGCCGCAGCAGCGGCGCCAGTTGCCATTCGGCGGCCTTGGACTATCACCGCGTGCCGCACGCAGCCGCCACCGCCGCTGCCAGGGCCGTACAGAGCCCCTCCCAAAACCTGGAGGGCTTCTGAAAGCCCCGTTAGCAGCGGCGGCCGCCCCCGCGGCGTCGACGTCACAGACTCTGGCGGATGAAGCTTTACATACCCGCCGGCGGCGGCGGCGGCAGCAGCAACGGTGCTGCTGAAGGCGGCGGATCCGTCCCGCTTGTCCCTTGAGCCCAGAACCAATTCCGTTAGCACTGCCGGCTCGACGACCGCCGTGGCGGCATGCCGGCGGTAGCCCCAGTCCCTCAGGCCGCCTCCAACGGCGGCGTCGTATTCTGCTGTACCTTCGCCGCCGGTACGGCATGGCTTTGTCGCCCCCAGTCCGCCGGTAAGTTGCAGAAGAGCCGCTGCCGACGATTGCGATGGCGGAGGCCGCGGCGTCACCGGCGGACATGGCGGCGAGCCACCACTGCTGCACATTCCGCCGCCAGAACGGCCACTTAACAACTTCTTAACGCCCGCAGCATCAGGCTGAGCAGGTGCTGCTGGAGTGTCAGCGCTCGTCGGCGGCACCGCCACCGCCGCTGGCGCAGCGGCGGCAGCGGCTGAGCCCTCCATTAACCCACGCTGAATGCTGCGCAGCTGCTCTCGAAGACGTGCCACGATGCCGTACAGTTTCAGCATCGTGTCTGCCGCCGGTGACGGCACCGCAGCCGCAGCCGCTGCAGGCGCTGCAGCCGCTGGACTGCCGGCCACGCGGCATCCCGCATCTTCTCCCACTCCCTCTGCCATCCGCCCTCCTTGCACTGCCAAACCCCGCCTGGAGGTATCGCATACTATGCCACCGGAGTCGCTGATGGCTAAGTGTAACTGTGGGCTAAGATTTGTTTTAGAGGCGATGGGTTGGTTCGTGCCGGCCAGGGCGCTGACGGTGGTCATAGTAGTGAGTTGATGGGGCCCCCACTGCCCCCCTAATTTGCCGCCACCGACACCGCCGGTGCTGTTGCTACTGCTGCTGCCGGCTCTGCTACAGCTGATACCTTGTTTTCCTTCCGTTGACTGCGGCAGAGCCGCGTCATCACCAGCAGCGGCAGCAGGCGGTGATCCTGACGCTGCCGTCAGTGCTGCTGCGGGCAACGGAGGGTGGGGGCGCACGACACCTTCACTGTCGCTGCGGCTGCTGCTGCTGCTGAAGCCGCTGTAGCAGCCGACGCAGCTGCTGCTCCCGCCGGACGGGACTGCGGTGGAGCAATTCAAGGTCGTTGGATTCGTTGGTAAGGCTACTGCCGCCGTCGTCGCTGGCGACACGGTGGCGTCGGTCGCGACCGCAGGCACCGCCGGCAAAACGTCTGTTGCGACTGGCATCCCCGCCGCCGCTGCTGCCGCCGCGGCCGCCACTACCAGCCGATCGATCTCCTCACAAACGTAGTGGACGATAGCCTCGGTCGCTTGCTTGTGAGCCTCCAGGTGCAGGCTGAGGGCGGGGAGCATGGGCACAAAAAGAGCGATGAAAGTAAAAACGGTATCAGTAAAAAGGGGAAAGTCTTGTCCTGTGTTTTGCAAAATTTCGTTTCCCGGATCTCCATGATATTGCGACCGAACCGTCAATCTTACGACGACACAGCACGCGGCCCCACCTGTACTCGGTAGAGCAGCGGAGCGCCACCCGCAGCTGGTCAATTTCAAATTCGCTATCAGCAAGGTCCCGGCGGAGGAGTCCAAGCCGCTCATCCTTCAGCCGTAGTAGCTTCAGGCCAGGCAGCGGGGGTGTTACAAAGCAGGCGGATGGAAGGTTGTCGGTTCAGAAGTCGTTGGCTCCGACTTGGAAACGGGAGGAATTACCCTGACCTTAGATGATTTATTTACCTACCTTGAGATGATCAATAAGTTCCGACTGGAGTTTCGCCTTATCTTCCAGCAGGCCTTCGCGGGCAATCTTCTGTTCCTCGGCGAAAGCCTTTGCCCGTGTCAGTTCCGAGCTGTGAGCGGCGAGCATGCTCCTGAAAAAGGAAAATGTTCCAAATTGAGATACCTAAGTACCCACGCTGTGGACTACTTGTTCGCCCACGACAAGCCCACCGGACTGCTTCGCCGTCCAGTTCCCGTTCCCGAAGGATTTTCTCATGCTCTTGCTTTGCTTGCTGCAACTTAGCATGTGCCTCCTGAAGTCGTGCCTGGATAGCAGCGTCCATGTGTGTCAGCAAAAGGCGTCAGCAACCGGAGTTTGTGTGTTATCTTACATGTGATGACGCATGCGCCTCCTTCTTATGAAGACGCCAGAACATAGCGCAAGCTGTTAATGGCGCTTTGAGGCTACTAATTGTAACCTAAACGTCCGACCTCGCTGCAGTTGATCCCATTTCTGCAACAGCAGGTATGGCCTCGGTATGGATATCCACACGATGTGTTCATAAGTGTCTGCGCCGGAGGGGCGATGGGTGATATGCAACCGCGAGAGGTCGTTTCACTAACGGACAGCTGTCGTACGACCGCACTGGATAAAAGCTTCGACTTCTCGAAGCAAAGTATGAGTAGAGATAGGAACTGCCGTAGTTCGTGGAAGCAGGGCGTGTGCATGCATGGGCCGGAACACGGCTGGGGATGCCAATCTTCTATTTAAGTCGCGTACGCGCATTGGATTTTTAACTGCCGTTGGGGAGGGGAGTCTCGCTGCTTGGACAGTGACCTCTAGTTTTGTGTTGCATCGTTTTTTAGTGTAATTCGGAGTCATGGGCCTCCATGAAGGATGTGCGCGTCGTCGCTGAGCAATTCAACGTCTTTCAACGTCATTCTCACCACAATGGCGGACATTACCTCTGAAGAAGGCCAGGCACTAATGAAAACTCTCTGACGCGTTTGACCAACTTGCTCGGCCAGCGTTTGGCGTCATACACAGGCGCAATGAATTGAATGAATGTAGCACCTACAAAAAACTGGAAAATCAATGTAACGTAATAAACTATCAGTAATTGCTTATCTGAAGGGGGTAATTTGACAAAAAAGATTAAAGTTTTCACGAGAAAAAAACACGCCCCAATGATAGGAATATCGAGCATGGCCCAAGTATTCTTGAAGGCTTATAACTTCAGGAGATCTAGGTATTGAATTGCAATTAATCTTCAGTGGTAAGGTATTCTGGCTAATATCTTGTGCCCGCTATTTTTTGCCATTTATACCTCCTAAACCAATATGAAATCTTATTGCCTTTTCTGAGCTACTCATTTGCTTTTGGGCGAGGCCCCGGTGTTCACTGCTCTCAGTCAGTCAGCCTGTCTGTCTGTCAGGGGCTTACATATCTTGCTCCGCAAAAAAATTGCTCAAAAGCTACATCAATTCTACATCGATTGTCCAAAGGAGGATTTTCAGATAAATCGGAGCGCGAAGATAGCTTTCCAAGTCTTCGAGTTTTACTTCCCCTCACCTCGCAGTCCTTGCCTCTGACGTCATTGATGTTCCTTACATCATAGATTCACAAGCAAACGGCATGATCCTTTATGGGTTGGTTCCTTCATGCTCGGCAACTTTAGACCGACCCGTGGCAACGCTCTAAGCTGCTCTAAGCACCTGCGTCTCGCTCGTCCCTTCTTATTCTCTTCTAGATTCATTCAATTCAAGTTGAACAAAACAACAACATTTCGAGGGCTCCGACAAGCCCTCGTAACTTCACTTCATCAAAACGAAATGCGTTCTGGCTGGGAGCGGACAAAAAATGGTCCATGAAGCACGGGCACTTTGGCGCGCCTTGAACTGCCAGCCAGCAGACCGAAGGGCCGGCGTCGAACATGAATGCAACGGTAGTACCACCTACGTATCGGGCAGTCCCGACTCATGGATGTGGCGCAGCAGCGGCAACACACGTTGCCGCAATCACACTCCTGCTTTGTGTGAATGCCATTCTACGGATTGCCGCATCACGAGAGAAGGCTAATTGTTCAGTCAAAAATGATTATGCTATGGCGGCTGCGCGCTTGCGACGATCCAGACAGGTCTACGCCGCCGAAGCAAGTCTGCCGACCTTTCTTGTTTGAGAATCTTAATAACAAATGTGTACTCCAAACGTGGCGGCATTCTTGTGCTTGCACTCCTATGGCGTACGGGCTGCCCTGCGAATCAAACAGGGTTCAAGTGGCTGCACCGGGGCCGAGTCCCTTTTCGGCTTTGGAAAGCCGCCCCCCTAGTCTAAAAATACAAGAACGATAAAAAAACTGCACTGAGTTAAAACAGTACGGCGCACACAGGCGCGCATGGCACGCTGCTGCAGTAATACAGGTTCTGACCATCCCATCTTGTCAGAGAGTCCTCCAAGGAAAAAATGCGGGACCAACCCGTCACTGTCCATATTAGGTGCCACTGCGCAATGCGCAAGGCCACGCCACGCCAAGAGACCGCCACCTTCATGAATCGGCGACTCCGTGCCCTCCGCTCGCCGGCAACGGTGATGGCGACGGCCACTACGGTGACGACGGCAGCACCAGCACCTCCGGCCATGTCAATTGCTCCGCTACCCGCATCCGCCCGGGCCACCGGGTCCATGACGCGCCCTCTGGGAGAACTGACCCACGGGTCACATGCACACGGCGGACACCACGCTCCGCCAAGACCTGCAGCAGCGCGCGAAGGTAGACCTCCGCCTCCATGATGCCACTCCGCAGGCTGCCTGCCAGCGTCACCTCCTGGAGCCGTGGCAACGGTCGGTCCGGACCAACGGCGACCTCCATCAACGTCAGCAGGCCATCGCCGTACGACTGCGAGATGCGCAGGTGCCGTACACCATGGCATAGCGGCGCCAGCGCCACCGCGTCAAGGTCGCGCGGAACCTCCAGCTCTGTGAGATTGGGCGCCCAGACGGCGGCGGCAGCGGCGGCAGAGCCTCCGCCGCCGGGGCGCGCCAGGGCCCGCCACGATGTGCGGAGCTGTGCCTCCGCCAGCAGAGCTGGTGGGCTGTGCGCCCGCTGCAACGCTCTAGCGCTGTCGCCTTCGCCTGGCTGTACCGCGTGCACCTTCAGAGTACGAAGATTGGGAAAGGCAGCTCCGACAAGGACGTGCTGCAGCCATGATAACGGTATAGAAAGCAGTCGGAGCGATTCGGCACCGCCGTCAATGGCGTCGTCACTGTCAAGCTGCCCACCCCCCTTCAGCAACTTGCTGCCGGCGATCGTCCAGCATCCCAGCCTGTCGTACACGCCGGGGTCGTCTTCAGCAATGGCCGCCAGGGCCGCCGGGTCGTCCAAAATGCGAAGTTCCTCAAGCTGGGGCAGCAATGCCAGGAGGTTTCTGGAAGCCGGGAAAGAATCAAACACGGGAGAAGAGGACGAAGACGGGGACTAGAAGAAGCGGATGAGGAGTAGAGTGGACATGTCGGAGGACAAGAGGCATGAAGAAGGCAAAGACGAGGAAAAGTACGTGAGGAGAAACTTCCGCAGCCACCATTTATTCTTTTGTGCTACGTAATCAACCATTCTAGCTAGACAAAGCAGATTCCCCCATGTCCCTTCTCGGCCCGATATCCCACGCACATGCTGCATTCGTCCCCTTCCCAGGGCCCATCCAGCCGCAGCACTCGGAGGGTCTCGAGGGGCGCCAGCTCGCCCCCTGCTACTGCCGCTGCTCCTTCATCAACTCCTTGACCACCACCACCACCTTCCCCTTCCTCCTCTCCTGAATCCTCCTCCACGCTCTCGACCTCCTCGTCGTCAGAACTGCCATCTGAGTTTGCATCCACCGCCGCCAGGTTGACCCAGCTGAATCGGGCATAGGCCAGTCGCGGCATGCGGCCGCTGATGATTCGCCACATGTGGCGGTCCAAGCAGTGATGTGAGAGGTCCAAATGCTCCAGGGAGGTCAAGCTGGGCAGCAGGAGAGGTACGGCATGCAAGGCCGCCTGCACCGCGGGCAAACGGGATGGCCCAAAAGAGGCCGCTCACCCATTCATCCAGTCATTTGCGCAATCAGAAGGAAACCGAGGTTGGCGTCAACCAGCAAGAGAGGGGGGAAAAGACGAACCACGAACGAGTGAAGCTGATGCCAAGGAAAGAGAGGGGGGGAATGTCGCGCATGGGGGCCCGGCATTGAGAAGGTGAACGGTGTGTGTGTGTGTGTGTGTGTGTGTGTGTGTGTGTGTGACAAACCACTGGCGATTGAAGCACATACCCGAAATAGACGGATAGTCCAGGAGAAGACAAATGTTGCATCAGGAATATTTACTGACCAATGAACCAGTTCATGTTCGGCATAAAATTCCTCCCCCTTTTCCCCTCCCTCCCCTCCCCCACCTGCCATTTGGACGACATCACCAGCCGAGTCAGGCTGGGGCCCCAGGCGGCCCAGGCCAGAACCTCCGCCCGGCCCAGGTCGTAGCGACTAAAGTTGGCGCTACGGAGGCGGGTGAGCGAGGACAGCGCCGCCAACTGGTGGACTACACGGTTCTGAAGGGAGTAGTGAAAGGCAGATGGAGAATGAACAGGGGAAAAGGAACTCGGAAAAGGGTAAACCGGAAAACGGAAAAAGGGGCCAACAAACCTGGAAATGGGCGGCGGGGGGTGGGATGGTGTGGGCTGGGCTGGGCTGGAAGGGACCCCAGAGAGTCCCTAAAACCCCTTTTGAGAAGAAAATTCAGCAGGAGTAAAGCCGTACTTGCTTGTACGACTTGCAATAAAGAAAAACCCTAGGACTCGTGCTGTGTTACGGATGAGGAGCACCTCAGCGGGTCGTTAGGTCGCCACGGCGTCCCCCCTCCCCCTCCGCCGCCAAGTCCCCCTCCCCCTCAGCTCCCTGCTCCCCCCTGTCTCCCTCCCAATCCCGTGTCTCCCCCCCGGCCTTCCCGTAGCCCCTTCTAGCATACAAAGCTCCTCTCCCCCCAACCTCCCCCTCTTTTTCCACTCCTCTGTTATGGCCATCCTCGTCCTTGCCCTCGTCCTCACCCTATTATACACATCTACATAAGCCAGATGGGTTAGGCGGGTGAGCTGGGCCAGAACCGTGACGAAATCGCTTCCGGCGTTGACGCAACTCCTTTAAATGAGGTGAGGCCGTTGAGGATGCGCGAGAGCGGGGGTTACGGGAATGTGGGTGGGCGGGAGTGCGGCTACGGGGGCAGGTTCTGTTGGGGTTCAGGAACTTCAGGAGTGGCCATGGCTATGGCTATGGCTGTGAGTATGGCTATGGCTATGGCTATGGCTGTGAGTATGGCTATGGCTATGGCTATGGCTATGGCTATGACTGAGAAGCGGAAGTTGTGCCGCGTCAGGACAGCTCGATGGCGGCAGGTGCCGCGGCGCTTGGCAGCAGTCGCTGCCGTCCACCGGCAGGAAAAGAGAAAAAAGACGCACGTACGAAAAACGATGAACTAATAAGTACACACAAGGTTTGCAACACCACCATCAACCACCAACCATCACCAACCATCAACCAACCGACCAATACCGCAACCGACTTACGTGATATTCAGTTCAACCAACCCAGTCAGCCGTCGCAACACGTCGCTGCTGCTACCCCCAAACGTCACATGCGACAGGCTGAGCGAGGTCAGCGACGACGACGCGCGTGCAAGCGACGGTCCCAGTCCCGATGGAAATGGGTTGGCGTGCTGCATTCGCCAAGAGCGCGGCGCTGTTCCCTTTCGCCGCGCTTCCCACACGCCCTCGAGGGACAGGCTCTCCAAGCCGGATAGGTCCAGGGGGTAGTCCGCGACCGCGGCTGTGGCGGCGGACCTGCCGCCGGCGTCACCGGCCGCGGCTGCGGTGCCGGGGCTCTCTGGGAAGTGTACGTTGCGGAGGGTCAGGTGGCGGAGGCCCGGCAGGTGGCGTCGGAGCCCAGCGAAGGTAACCGGCGGCAGCAGCGTGGGCAGTGGCTGCGGAAGTGGTGGTGGTGGTGGTGCTGTCCCGACGGAGGCTGTTGCAGCCACTGGATGCTGTAATCGTTGCGGGAAAGGCTGATGAAAGGGCTGAGCCGCGGGTATGGGCGCCGGCTGCAGTAATGGAGCTGTTGGGATGGCCGCTGTATCGGGGGCGCCAGTGGCGCCAGGGGCGGATGTGCTTCCTTGCATTTCTAATATCAGTGTTGTGACGTTTGGGAGAGGCGAAGTGCGCCAGAAGCTGTGGCGTAAGATGGTATTAAATTGTATGGTTAATCGCGGCAGCCGGCGGTCTGCGAGGACTTTAAGCTGGCGGCACGTGGCGCGAACGGGGCCTAGCGAGGTCTCCGGAAGGTGGTGCAGCACTAGCGCCTCCAGGTAATCGTGGGGCAGATCAAACAGCTCGAAAACCACATTCTGGTTCATGGCCCTGGGTCCCACTTGTGATACAGTATATCCGCGTAGGTAAGAGGCTATGCAGTGCCACCCACACGGAGAGGCCTTGAATCCTTGTCCTATTGCATACAGCAGCTACGGTATTTGCGCCAAGGGCGGCGACGCCGCCCCGATTCAAGCTTGGGATTCAAATTGCAAACAAGGAATGATGCATAAATTGGCAAGCAGTTCGTTATACATGAAAGCCTATCTTTTTTAGGTCTTTTCCTGGTTCTTGAGGCAGGCAGCGTGTCTACACCACAGCACTGGTCCAGTCCAGGACTTGACAAGGGCACGTTATGCAGGGAAAGACGGCGGTCGATTACCATGTGGTTGTGGTCAATCCTTTCAACGCAGAACCAATGACACATCACACACAAGCAAAAATACAGAGCACGTCTTAAAAGCCGTACGTACTGCCGCAGGGAGCAGCAGAGGTGCAGAGTGCGATTTCAGAAGACATATCCACCTTCAATTTGGCTCGAAACATGTCCACCGCGCTGGTGCTAAGCCACCAATACCTGGAGTTTAGTTTGCGCGGGCGCAGTGATTACATCCCGAAAACCCGTTGCCCTTCATTTTCAACTGCCCAAAAAGACTGCTGGACGCACGCGAAACCAATAGCCATCTTGTACTGCTAATCATAGATCACTATCCATGTATGGAAATTTCGCGGCATACGCCGCCGCATCCTCCGGCGCCCAAGCGGCCTTTGGTGTTCCCAGCCTGCCGCAAACCCACCAGCAAACCCAATCCGAGCCGTGGCGCATTCAACCAACAGCAGCTCTGGCCGTGCACATTCCTAGCGCGTACGACACGAGCTACCCTACGCCGTACTTGACTGCCTTGTTTCACGCCTCTCCATTGCGCCCGCGCGCTGACCCCGGCGCAATCTACAGCCCGCAGCACGCCGCCTTTGGCCAGCTTTCAGGCGTCCCTGACGGCGCCGGCTATGTTTACCAGGGTACGCACACCGGGCGCCCAAGATGCATGAAAAAACGACCTGATCGGAGATAGAGACAGAGATAGAGACAGAGCAGAAGATTCGGGAAGTACATAACAAGCTTTCCTGTGACTTCTGTGACTAATGTAAGGAAGTAGAACCAACTGCCGGCGCACTGCACACTGCCATTAAAGCTGCTGGCGCTGACCCCAAGCCTGCTGAATCTAGTTCGAGCTTCCAGTTTTAGTACGTAGTTCCAGCATCTACAGCTACACATACACACACACACACACACGCACACACACACACACGCACACACGCACACACACACGCAAACACATAACGCATAACGCATAAAGCCCCACAAGGCCAGGAGCCATCTCTCATGTACCTCATGCATTGCACAGAACGGTGCCCTTATCGGGGTTCTTAAGGCTGTTTCTCACCCGGGCTCCGAGACCAGGACTCCCTTAACGAGCCCTGGCTCGTTAACCCCCTGGTGGTGGGGGCATTGCCGTACCGCGCCGTGTTAAGGTGACTCTCATCGGCGGAATGGTCAACGGTGTTCCCTTCCGTTGCCGCTGTGTTTCCCCCCTCTTTTCCCCGGGGGTTCCCGCTCTCCCCCCGCCTCCATGTTTCAATTTACACGTCCAAGGCGTATATGGCATGACTCAGCATCCAGAGGGGGGCGGCCCAGAGGGGGGGAGCGGGTACGGCGACAGCGACGACTCACCAGGCTGCGGTGGCGGCGGCGGCGGTACTTCCATGTTGTACGGCAGGTCCACCAGCAGCGGCAGCTCCGTCAAGTCTGGGTACGGTGGCGGTGGCGGCGGCGGTAGCGCTGCCGCCGCAGCTGGGACACGTCACCGCTCACAGGCCCAGCAGCCAGCCTCCGCCGCTACCGCTATCGCCGCCGCCCCCGCCGTCGCCGCCGCCGCCGCCGCCGCCGCCGCCAGGTCTCAAGTGGGTCGAGTCAAAGAGGGCGCCCTGGTCAGTCATTCATCAGTAGAGCAGCTGGCGCAATCAGCGCCGCTATGGGTGGTTTACTACAATTACACCGTCAACGGACCCGTGGGTCACTCCGGCATTCTGACGGGGGACCAGCTCATGCAGGCTTACCGGAACCGTCGCGTACACGGCCACACGTTGCTGGTGGGGCTCGCTGCTGAAGCCCGGTCCCTGCTGTCGTCGTCGGCAGCGGCGGCGGCGGTGGCCTGTTGCGGCGGCGGCGGCGCTGCACCATCCTCCTCATCGTCATCTTTATCCTCATTGCGGTCACCGTCACCCTCAGCGCCGTCCTCGGGACAGGGCGGCGGCGGCGGCGGAGGTCCAGTCGTACCGCCCTCCTTCCTCCGACCATTAGTCTTCTACCTCGCGCTTGCCCAAGCAGGAATGCCGTACACGCCGATCACGTCCGACCAGCTGATGGCGGGTCTGCCGCCGCTGGGATGGTGCCTTCCGGCGCCGCTCTTGCAGCCGAAGGTTGCTGCCGACGCCGCCGACGCCGCTGCTGCCGCCGGCTGCTCCTTCGGAGCCCGGGGCCCAGCCAAACAACAGCCGCTGGCCCGCTGGGCAGGGCCAACAGTGGACACGGCCGTACGGCAGCTGCTGTCACGCGCGCCGTTTTGGTGCTTGCTCAACTTGTACGGCGAATCCGGCCGCTGGAACTGTCACCAGAACCTGACGGCGGCTCAGCTTCAAGAGCGGCTGCCAGCGGGGCACTCGTGTCTTCACGCCTGCGTGCTGGGTACGACAGAACGACTCCCCGGCGGCGTCTGGATCCCGACGTCTCTGGTGCTTCCGCTGGGGGCGCTTCTGCAGGCTGTGACGGCGGACGGCGACGGTGACGGTGCGCCTCTGCAGTACATCCCTCAGAGCGCCGCCGACGTCCGGTACTACATTGAGGATGCCATAGGTGCCGTACTGGGCCGACAGGAGGCGGCGGCACGCCTGCAGGCACACCTGACACACTTAGCGGCGGCGACGGCGACGGCAGCCGTACACCGGCCGCCGTCGTCGTCGTGTACCAAGGGGCTGACGCTGCCAAATGGTCAACTGGACCCCAGCGCTGCGGTGTTCGTACCGCAGTGTACGGTGGCGGCAGCCGGCGGCGGCGGCTCACTGCCAAAACGGATGGGGACTGCGGCCGGGGCCAAATCAGAATGTACCGCCGCCGCCGCCGCCGCGACGGCGGCGGCAGCTGCTGCCAAGGCGAAATCCGGGCGCACCTTACCGCCCGATTGTACGGGTGCAATTCCAGCGACGGGTACGGCTGCCGAGGCGAAGGCGGAGGTGGAGGCAGACATGGTTCAGATGCCACGGCCTGCGCCACCAACGGAGAAGGCTCTTGAGGTCCAACAACAACAACAGCAGCAGCAGCAGCACCACCATCAGCAGGGGCAGCAACAACAGCAACGACAGGCACTGCAGCAGCAGCAGCAGCAGCAGGAGATGGAGGTGGATGTACCTGTGCCAATGCCCGTATCTGTTCCGCTGTTGCTACCGCCGCAAGCAGGGGGGGCCGAATCGGCCGGTGGGTTGTTGTGGTTAGGATTAGGTGGGGTGGGTAGGGTGGGGGACGCAACGTGTGCACTATGACTGTACAGATAGACAGACAGACATACAGACAGAGGGCAACCAGAGGGATGTGGAGCCTTCCCTCCCTCCCTCCGCTCGGCGGTCTCTTTGCGCCTCTCCATCGCTCTCCCAGCCTCCTTTCACCCACCACACCACCGACCCGCAGGTCAACCGCCGGGGATATCCGCCGCCGCCCCCCCGCCACTGCAACAGCCACAGCAGCCACACAGTTATAAACAGCCGCAGCTACAGCAGGTCCAGCAGGGGCCCCAACAGGAGCAGCAGCAGTTGCAGTTTGAGGGGCAGCAGCAATATCTGCAGCAACAGCCGCAACAGCAGCAAGAAGTATTGTTGCAGGAGCCACAGCAGCACCAGCACCAGCACCAGCTGCAACAGCAGCAGCTGCAGCAGCCGGGCGGTGTGTTGGTTCCCATACCGGTGCCCTTCCTGCGCTTCGAAACGGCGGTGTTCAGGTGAAGAGGGACAAAGGGAGACATGCATACAGACATGACTTGTGGACTCGCTCTAGCGGGACCTGAGAGCCCTTCGTGGTGTTTTGGCGGCAGCGCCATCCCCGGATGGAGGGACTGCGGAGTGGCTGCGTAGAGTGTTGGCAGTCTGAGTCGGAGTCGGGAGCACACAAGACTAACCGACTTGTGCTGTGTGCTCCCGACCCTTGCGCTGTGTTTCGGCTTCGGCCCCAATCTTTCGCGGTCCACAGTGTAATCTAAGTCATACATACATACATACATACATACATACATACATACATACATACATACATACATACATACATACATACGTCTTGTGGTGTCGAGCTCTCTTAGCCTTTCTCTCTTGGAGGTTTTTTGTTGGCCTGTTAGGGATGTCAGGAGCCCTCCCCTGCCGGGACTGCCCTAACCGAATTTTGTTTTTCCCTTAGAATCCCGTTTTCGTTCGTGGTGTTTTGGGGGGTTGTTTCAGAGAGCCTTTGACTTTGCCCTAGCTGAGACTTGTGGACTCGCTCTAGCTCTAGTGTTTTCACTGCAGCGCCATCCCCGGATGGAGGGGCTGCAGAGTGGCTGCGTAGAATTTTGGCAGTCTGAGTCGGGGTCGGGAGCACACAAAACTAACCGACTTGTGCTGTGTGCTCCCGACCCTTGCGCTGTGTTTCGGCTTCGGCCCCCGGCTTTCGCGACCCACAGTGTAATCTAAGTCAATACATACATAGGGTTAGGCACTACTGGTAACGCGTGACCATTGCCCCCGGGAGATCCCGGGATCGAGACCTGTAAGGGTCGAAAATCCTTCCGATGGTGGAAGGTTAAGTGCCCCTAGTCAATGGACGGTGGTGACCTGGGATATAGTTAACCTGCGAGCCGAACAGGAATGGAGTTGGGCCGCTGTCGACCCGGCAGATTCCGTTGGATGCTGGTGGTGGGTGCGGAACCTAAGCGATCCACTGAGAAGTTGACTAGGGTGACTGGATGAGGGTGCCCCGAAATACCGGGGAAAGGCAGGGTTTCGCAGGGTAGCTGCCGCGGGTGAAGATATGCTCCCCTGTTCCACACATACATACATACAGGTTATTTCAGGGGGACCAAGGACAGCACGCATTCACCTCGCTTTGGTGGTACATGGACCCGCTGGCCCCTGATGGCGGCAGCGGCGGCGCGACCGTGGCGGCGGCGGGTACGGCACGCACGTTGGGGCCGTACAGTTGCGAACAGATGATTTTGGCGTACATTGCCCAGGTGGGTCGGGTTGGCCAACCCAGTAGGGCTCTCAACGCGGTGGGAGTGGGTGTGAATGACCCATTTAGATGAGGGCCGGACGGCTCGAAATGCGTCCTTGTCTGTGTCTCTGTGGCGTATGTATGTATATGACTTAGATTACACTGTGGGCCGCGAGAGCCGGGGGCCGAAGCCGAAACACAGCGCAAGGGTCGGGAGCACACAGCATATATGTATATGTATATGTATATGTATATGTATATGTATATGTATATGTATATGTATATGTATATGTATATGTATATGTATATGTATATGTATATGTATATGTATATGTATATGTATATGTATATGTATATGTATATGTATATGTATATGTATATGTATATGTATATTTAACGTTATCGTTCCGCATGTTAGCACTCCCTTTTCCCCCGCCGCCTCTCACCTGCGTCGGTCCCCCTCTTGTCGCCCCTCCCCTCCTCCCCTCCTCCTTGGCATCACCTTCACTCGCTCGTGGTCCCCCTCCCCTTCCCTCCCCCCCTCCCCTCCCCCACAGCTGCTGCCCCACGACGCCCTGGTCTGCGGCACCCAGAGCACCTTGGCGCCGGACTCCGCACCTCCACCTCCACCTCCACAGCCATCGGCCTTCCAGCCGCTGGACCACCTGCTGGTGGCGGCGGAGGAGGGCCACTCGTACGCCCTGCTACCGGCTGTGGCGGTGACGGCAGCTCCCGAACGGCTGACGGTGCTGACGGTGCGACCATCGGGAGACCATAGACCATAGACTGCCGGGGCTGTGACTGCGACCGCGACGGTGCCGTGCTACGGCGCCGGCAGCGGTACAGCGGCGGCACCGCTGCGGTGCAGATCCATCCCCCTGTAACAACAAGATGTAGCCACCGCCGGCGCGCTAAGGCAGCTAGTACTACTGCTACTGCTACTACTACTGCTACTGCTGCTACGACCGCGTTAAGGACGAGGCTTTTCCGATGTCATGGTGTACAGTACCGTACTGTGCGTACGGAACGCAACCATTGGGAGGGAGTGAGGGAGGATGGAAATGGGTTGAAGGGGGCATGTGTAAGAAGAACCCTTCTCTCCTTTTGTAGATAGCCTGGAGGTGTTTTCCCCCTAAGAGGGGGATTATGGGCACATGTAGTAACGTCCGGCGGCTTGCGGCTGTGGCTGCATAGTACCTGTTTGGGCACTTTGCGGGTCAATCAGTTGTGGTTGTGGTTGTGTGTGTGGCCCTCAGAGGGTAGTCCGCTCACGGAGTGGGTGAGGGAGGGGGGCGAGGGAGGGAGGGGAGGGCTGTGTTTCGGCTGCAGAGCGCTCGGCGGCGGTCGATACGGGCGCCAGGCCAAACGAAAGGCGGGCGGAGGGGGATTGTGTACGCAAGCCGATGCGAGGCGGAATGGGTTGATTTGCCGTTCGTACAGTTGCTGTTCTTCAGGACGTGTGTCCCTCAAGTTTAAGAGTACATACATGCAGAGAAACCCTTCTCTCTGTCTTTTGGATTTCCCTTTTCTCACAGTTGTATTCTGATACAGTTTTTCTTCAGTGGCGCTTTTCTCCTCCTCTGTGCGCTCTCTCTCTCTCTCTCTCTCTCTCTCTTTTCTCACGTTTCCAAGTTTCCAAGCTCACTCTTTTGCCCGCGGAAAGGCCGCGCTCCGAGACCTGCAGAGAGAGACTTTCCCTGTCGCCTGTCCGCCGACCTGCGATGCCTCTGGGGACAATCTAACGGGCTTTGGGGCTGTGAGGATGCAACTCGAGGATGCAACTAAGTCCGGGGAGTTGTGGAGGCTGATGGAGGACGGGGGGGTGGCAGATGTCCGGGGGTGGTCGACTGGGGGAAATGCAGGCGGGGTAATACTTGAAGTAGCGTGGAGAACTGGATATGGATATGCAAGCTATTACTGGGGGGCTCTGTGGTCGGGTCGGGTCGGGAGAGGGAGAGGCGATGGGAAGAGCTGGACGAAAAACGGCGAGGAAAGAGGGTGGTAGGGTGTGTCTTGAAGACCATAAGGGCGCTGTCTCCGGGGTTTACCGGCAATGCGGGTTTTGAAAGCAGCATTTGTTGTCGCAGGCAGGCTCGCATCCTGCCTGGATTGAAGTTATGTAGTTTGTGTTCATGGTTGTGCTGCGAGCGCTATCCAGGGTCGGTTAAGGCCAGGACCCCGCCCTGGCCGCGTGGTCGCCGATAACCGAACGAATGGAGTATGATAAAAATTGCACTGTATTTGTAATCATGCAACAAATGCAATAAGCGTAAGGGACATGAAGACATCGGCAATCGCTTCAGGAGTTTCGGGTCGTACCGAAACTCCAGAAAACAGAAATAGAGACAGAAATAGACCCCTCCCTGAAACCCAGAATACCCTGCTGATGCCTGAGGGCATGACATGATGGCTTAGGAGTTGTAAGTTGTACTGTTAGCATGAGCCGTCTTGGTATTTACAACATGACGTAACTTGCTTTTGCTTTACAGATCATCAATTCATAAGGCTTGCATAGCTACCTGAAATTTGCATCAAACCGACGTGCGAAACCCTACCGGGCAAAACATGACGTATACATTTGTTCGCGCACAGCTCAGCGGCTCTGCGCTAGGAGGACGCCCGCGGATCAAGCGCTGTCAAACTGATGTGATTTTGGAATTAACTGCAGCTCGGCGTGGCTTGCACCCCTCCACAGCGCATCGAATTGCATCGTCCCGCCGCGAAACTCCCCCAGCTGCTCTCCGAGCAGTCCAGGAAATGCTCCCTGCTGCACCAGAGTCTGCATCAGAACCTGCTCATGCCGAAGAACCGAGGAAGGTCCAGCATGTTCAGCAACCCCAACAGCAACACGAACGACATCGCCAGGAGCGAGAACAAGAACCAGCACAGCAGCAAGAGCCCCTGCCGTCGCCTCCCCCACCGCCACAGCAGCAGCAGCAGCATGGCCCAGGGATCTGTGCCTGCTGCCGACCGGCAATGGGCAGCGAGCCTGTCGTCCAGTACGTCACATATGTAGAGGGTGTCGTACTTGAGGTAGAAATGGCTGACGGCGACGTCGTATATTTTAACCAAGACGCAGGGGACGACGAGAACGGCGGGTCTAGCGGCGACAGCCTATCTGGAGTGGCTGCAGCCACCGTCGTGGGATCCGCTGATAGCGGCGGCAGCGGTGGCGGTGGTAGTGGTGGACCACTGGTGTTCGTACCTGACCTTGTCATCCCGCCGCTGCCATCACTGGACTCCGATTTCAACTCTGTCAGCTCTGCGCTGTGAAGATGCGCAAGGATGCGACGACGGGAAAGGAGATGGGGAGAAAGGGAGGGAGGCAGGAAGAGAAGGAGGAACAACAAAATGAAGTAGGAATATTGCTTAGAGCGCACACAGCTTAAAGCAGCAGCTCGCTTGCAGCCGGGCGGGTGTCCGCCTGCGTTCCGACCAGCTGAGAGGAGCCAGGACATTTAAGCTGTGTTGGGTATCTGTCGTGTCCATTGGACTGTCAACGCTAGGGGTTGGGGCCTCGATTTGCTGCGGGAAAGGTGGTTGTTAGTTGTTGGCTGTTGGTTGCATGGATGACCGTTTCGCCCATGGCTGGATGGCGACTGGTGATGAAAAGACGGCCAGGGTGGGGGCGGGGGAGGGCGGGGGGCTGGGGGCGGGGATCTTTTCTCAACGAATAGGTTGTGGAGAGCGCCCCAAAAAGGGCAGAGCGTCCATGCGACTGCATAAAGTAGGAAGGAAAAGGAGCAGGCTCATGCGTTGCAACGGACTACTACCGCTCAAATGGTAACGCCTCGATACATTCAGCATCGTCGCACCGAGCTGGCTCTTACATGCATTTCCCTTTCTGCTGCGTGCTACGCTTTTCATAGTTGTTTATTTGTTGTTAAGACCAGGGAATGTATAGAGTATATGAATATGTAGGGCATTATGCTGATAAGTTTTATTAGGTTTTATATAATATTTTATTATATTAATGCTAGTAATGTTCTTGATATTGGGCCGCTCGGACGGAGACACAATTACTCTTTGCGCAATCCAGAAGGAACGCCGTAAAAAAACAAGGCGCTGCGTTCGGGGCCTTGGCGCGGTGTTATTGAATAATATGGAAAGTATGGTTAAATGAAGAGCGCAGAAGTCCGAAAGATGTGCAGTGTAAAGGAGTGGCCGAGCATATGGCGGCTACAAAAGTTCTCATGACGCAAGCATATGGGATGCGACACCCGAAAAAATGGCAAAGGAAAGCGTCAAGTGAAAAGAAGAAATAATGAAAAAGAAGTAGCAATAATGAACGTTGTGTTCGAGAACGGCAGGAAGAGATGTGTAAGGAGTTGCGCATTAAAACCGGGCTGTGCGTCCGCAAAAATAATGAGCAAAGTATTCACAGTAAGACCAGGAAGAGCAGGATAGAGTATAGGAAGAGGAGAGGAGACGCCTTCAGGGTAAGGAGAGTACGGAAAGAGAGGAGGGAAAGGAGGGAGCGAAGGGAGAGGAAAGGGAAGACATGAGGGTGAAGAGCACATTCATGTTGCTTGTATTGCCGTGTTTGTCTTTTCCGACAACAAAGCTCAGGATCTTCCCAACGCATCCCAGAAACCAGAAAACATGAGAACGTAAAGCAGCAAGCATAGGACATCGGTCAAAACGTCGTAACAAACATAGAACTTGTACTCGAATACTGCAGGTAGAGAAGTGTAAGGAGTTAATCGTTCATAATGGGAAGCACATCTGCAACGTTAATGTACAAATCGTCCACAAGGACGCGAGGGATGTAATTGACATAAAAGATAAAAGGGAGAGGATGGAAGGAATGCGAGTAGGAAGAGAACGTGAGGGAGAGGGCAAAGGTGTTCGGGAAAAGGGACGCGAGAGCGCGGAGGGACAAAGGGACAAAAGTAGAGTGAGGGGGAAGTGGAGGAAAGTTTCCGCATTCAGGGAAGGAAAAGATCGAAAAGATAGAAACAACAGAGGGTATGGAAGGAGAGAACAAAGGACGAGAGCACAATCCATTAATCAGCTTTGTTCCTTGTAAGCTTTCCACATTTAATCGCATCTCATTCGACTCACCGTACTCATACAATTAAAACTCCAATGCTTCAAAACTCCAATGCTGCAGCACCCTCAAGCGCACCCAAGACAATTCCTATTTGGGCAAGCCGAAAAACCGCGTAGCGTGTGACTTTACATTATATGATTACTGCTATATGTTTTTGACATGGGCCGCCAGGGCAGGTTCATCAGCTCATGAGATATTTGGTCTCAACCGACAGATTACCTGCTCAACACATGCCCATGCTTTTTGGCCCCTAGATACTGATGTCTTTTGGCCCCTGTTCGAATCCCGCCGGCAGCAGTGATTAGGTCAGCATCTCGCTTCCATGGCGATCAGGTAATACATTGTTAAAGCAAAGCCCTAGTTAGGCAACTGTTTTCATGGCAGGTGTCGCTGCAAATACATTCGCGAGGAATGGAGAAATAGGAATGGAAAAATAGGAATGGAGAAAGTACAGGGTCGAGCTCCAACGCTAATCCCGACCCTTAATCCGCAAGGGAAATAGGCAATTAAGATTTATGGCATTACAAGGTAAATTGCGTCGTTCTCGCGTGGCAATTATGATATGTATCGTGCCTGTTGTTGGCAACACCGTGTTGACACTCGAGTGTGACACTCGTCCTCGTGTTGCCCTTCCCTTTCAAAATATTCCCCACCTTCAAGGCCGTTTTTGCTACGGTTAAATAGTAATTCAATCTCTTCAAACTAGAGCTCGTTAGCTCTTTCAGGCCCGCCCCCAAAATACAAGTGTGATCCACATCTGCATACAACGTATCAATTCCGTACCGAGCTACAAAGCCATGCACGACACTGACTAGTGTAAAAGCGCAAACACACCAAATTTTCTATCAGGATTCATATCTGCAAACGGGCATAACAGCAAAACAAAATAAACAGCGCACACAATTGCCTCTGCCGTACACGGTACGGCGGAAATCAACCAGCCTGCAGGTGTGTCCGCTCTTAATTCCTCTGAACCACCCAGCTGCACTCACTCCGCAGGTTGCAACAAATTCCAACCCTATCTGGAACTGTATACAACCACCACCACCACCACAAGCACGCAAAGCCTACACAAAAAAATTGCGTCGCCTTTTTTCACGATAACATAAAAAACGGATCACGGTAGACAGATCGGATCGCGCGGGGGTGCCAAGGATTCCACAGCCCAACGTACGACAATCGTACGACAACAGAACAGGTACAAGGGTAGTTGAAGTTGTGTCTGTCAGGATTGGCGGTATGGTGTGATGTGGGTGGGTGGCTCCCCCGGGAACGGTGGTGAAAATATCATCATCACCCCGACCCGAACCAACTATCGGAATATGCAGCCATACATACATACATACAAATGTACATGTACAATGTGGCAGCGGAAGCGCTGGCAGTTTTAAAAAACGACGAAACGGTGCTGACGGTGACAGTGCTGACGGTCGTGCTGGTTTTGCCATCTTGGCGTTTTCGCTGCCGTTGGTCCGTAGCCAGTCCGGTCCGGTTGCGGATGCAACTTCTTCTGACCTTCCGCAGATCCCTCCACCGCCCCCCCCCTCCTGAGTCCTGTGTCCTGTCCTGCACCTCCGCCTCCCAGGAGCCGCAGCCTCACCGCCCCGTCTTGCAGCAGATTTGCGAGGTGTCGACATACATACATACACATACATACATACATGACAGATAGATGCAGTGCAATGGGAAGACTGATGACTACCCCATTGTATTTCATCTCTAAAACCGGGTGGATGCGGTGGATGGATGGGTGAGTGGATGGATGGATGGGTGGGTGGATGGGTGGGTGGATGGATGCGGTGGATGCGGTCGCGAGGGAACAAATTAATGCCCCCAACAGCACCCGGAGCACCCCCCAACACCAACAGCGCCACCCCGGCGGCTGCAAGGCTGCCTGCTGTTCACAAACATGCCAGGAGAAGCTCAAGCTGCAACAACAGCAGCCGCAGCATCAAAACAACTGCGAGTACGGCATTGGTGAGTGACGCGTCTTGTATACGTGTGGTGAAGGACGTTTGCCGACTCACAGTCCAGGAGGGTGCCACCACTTCCCCCCACCCGGGGTAGAGGTTGGCGGGTTGTGCCGCCGTCACATGGTGCAGACGGAACAGCGGAAGCAGCAGCAGCAGCAGCAGCAGCAGCAGCAGCAGCAGCAAAAACAGCAGTAGCAGCCGCAGCAGCAGGGGCCTAAACCACCTCTCAGCCGATGCCTGTATTGCCTGTATGTATGATTAAACAGCCGATGCCTGTATTGCCTGTATGTATGATTAAATTATGTCACACACCCCCTAGGCTTTCTTAGTTTGCTTCATGACAAGCTTCATGCATTCAGTTGACTTGCACCCAGCCCTGACTACCAGCGACCATCCGCATGAGATTGCCGTACAGCGATCCCAGATCTTCGGCGTCCGTTTGATTTAGTATGAGTCTGTCGTACTCTGTGTACCTGCGTACGACGTGTCGCCATAGGCGGGTGTGGTGCGAAAGAGAGGACAGGACAGGAGAGAAGATGGGGGGGGGGAGGAAAGCCAAGCCACGAACAACGAGTGAAGCTGCTGCCAAGGAAAGAGTGTACAAGAAGTAGAACTGAACAGTAGGCGGTTTCGAAGGAGGCGACCTCGGGCTGATGTAATAATGATGACCGCGGAAACCTACCTACCTACCCAGCCGCCAAGACTAAGTAAGAGCGGAAGAAAAGCAGTAACACGAAGCCGTAAAAAAGTAAAGGTTGGTGTAGAGGCGGCGAAGAAGTAGTAAAAAACCTGATGACGTGAGCTGGAATAAAGTTTGCCGCCGGCCTGGCGGCGGCATTTACGCGATCGTAGCAAATCCGGTTGATAAGCAGGTGATGAAAAGCTGGTGACATGCAAGTGCTCCTCCCACCCACCCCCCAAAAAACACGCGCGACCGACCCGACCGACCCGACTATCCTAGTCCGGCCAGCCGCGACCGACGCAACGCGGTACACCGACAAAGCTCTCGAACCTCCTGGGACTCACCTGGCCAGGCAGCAGAAGCGGCGGGCAAGAGCACAACAGAAGATGTGAGGGGGGGGGAGAAAGGCGGTGTGAGGGACGCGTCAACACTTGATATACACACACACACACACGCACACACAGAGCTTTCCCCATCTTTAACCCAACAATCACCCCTTACCTCCCCCTCCCGCCGGCACTTCATTCCTAGGTTTCTTCGCACTCGATACCCCCTTCCACCCCCCCCACCTCCCACTCACCTGGTCAGCCCCTCCCCCTGCAAGTCCGACACGAAGCAGTCCAAGTCCATGGTAGCGCTGTCGGGGTGGTGGCTGGCGTGGCAGCCCCAGGCCAGGGCGGGGAAGTGCTCACCCGCGCGACCCGCCTCCTCGGAGCCCAACAGCGCGGTCAGACACGCCCTCTCCGCAGATACTTCGAGGAATGTACTTCGATGGGAGATGGCGGTGAGCTGCCTGCAGTGCATGTATGTGTGTGTGGGGGGGGAGGAGGTGGGGGGGTGGTGGGATGGGGGGAGAGAGGGGGGGTGAAAACGGAGGGCGTGTGCATAAAGTGCGTGTGTTAGTCTTGAGGGCACATGCGGAGCAGCAGCAGCAGCAGCAGGCAGACGCACAGATATACACACTTACTGGATGACCCAGGGGTCATCTTCCCGGCACACCACCCCCACCGCCCCCTGGCACGCCGCCGGCAGCATCTCGTCCATACTCAGTACGGCAGACGCCATGTCCTCGCAACCCAGCCTCTGAAGACCTGCACACAACAGGTGTGTGTGGGTCCTGAAGATGTTCGGATCGACTGGTGTCGTGGCTGGGAAACTGTGTAAACGAATGTGTAAAAGAGTTGGAACAAGATACCGGGAGCCTTTTCAATCAAACGGAATTCCCAGTGGTAGCGATGCCGTGTGTGTTCTGTTAAGCTAAGAAGAAGACTGCAGGCAGCTGGGCACGTGTTGTGATCTTGGTACTGGTGGTGGAGTTTGGGTTGGGAAAGGCGGGTAGCATCACACACACAGACACATAGGCAAACACACACATAGGCAAACACATGCGTACACGCGCGCGCTCTCCTTCATACAAATGTCACAAATGTCACAAACATCAACCCCATCGTAGCTCGCGCCATTTTTTAAATCACGACGTCACAACACTGCCGCAGGTGGTCACGCGCCGGGGACATGCGCCGTGACTCACTAAGCGTGTCAGGATACTAGGGTTATTGGGCCCGTACGGCAGCCCCCTTTCCCCCCGGCTCAATCGCAACCGTTACAAAAGCCGACAAGGCGGGTCCCTCCCCCCCGTCACGCACACACAGAAGGAGCAAACCGTCATATTCCGCCACAACACCATCAGCCGTTCACCCCCTCCCCTCCCCGCCCCCTCCTCCCCGCCCCACCCGCCATGGACAGCACCGTGGCGCTGATCTCCCGACTCTTGATGCGCTCCAGCCGGGTCTCCACATTGCCTCGAAGCTGGACTACCTGTAGCGACATCAGGAGCAACAGCAGGTGCGGGAGACAGCAGCAGCAGCAGCAGTAGCGGTAGCAGGTATGTAACCTGAACCATCCACCGCCATAGGAGCAGCAGCAGCAGCAGCAGCAGCATGTGCACTACCAGGCACTGCCCCCCAGCCCCTATATCCCCCAGCCCAACCATTCTCAAGTCCCTCTCCTCCACTACTGCACTGCATTCCCCCCAGGACCCCGAACCCCCACTCCCCAACACCTGCAAGTGCGGAAAGCCGTGTCGTATCTGTGCCGCTCTCCGGCTGCTGCTCGTACCCACCCGGCTACCGGGCATCAGCTCGGCTGGGGGGGAAACCGGGGGGCGACCGGGGGCTCGTTCGCGGCGAGTTCGTGGCGGGTGACGTGTGCCGAGTGGTGTGCGGGGAGTTGGGTTTGGGAGCTATGATGTGGTTCCTTAGCGAGGAGGGAAAACCCCCGTCGGTCGGTGTTGGGGTTGGATTGGAGTATGAGACTACGGTAAGGGGTGCGGATAACGGGTGGCCACGTCAGCGACCTACCACTACCACTACCACTACCATTAACACTACCACTACCACTACCACTACCATTACCACTACCATTACCATTAACACTACCACTACCACTACCACTACCACCACTACCATTAACACTACCACTACCATTACCACTACCACTACCATTACCACCACTACCATTACACTACCACTACCATTACCATTA